CCATAGATCGTAATGGTCATCTGGATTTGGCGAGCGAGGTACTACCTGATCTTCTTATGGCAGGGGTAGCAATACCCATGCGCATATATCGTCTATACCCATGTTGTCCATCTATCTCCTGTGAGCCTGCATAAAAACTAAACATATTAGATGTTTATGAAAGGTAGCATAGGAATACATATAATATTTAATTATAATATATAATAGATAGTATCGGGTCTCCTTGACTCACTCTATATATGCATATCGGATATAAAACCTTAGACCATCAATCCATGCAGCCTCAAACTAGACGTCGAATCCTTGGGTAGTAGGTCTAGATCTAACCCTCCAATCTAAGATTCTCAACTAATCGAAACATGTTACTGATCCATAAATCCTCAAGCATTTAGATTGTTAACTACCGTATCTAGGTTTAGGTGTGTGTAGTTCAGACCATAATAAAACTTAGTTGCACATTCTAGGTCTAGTTGTGGTACATCCGTTGTATTGTACTAACCCTAGGTATCTTTTTTGACCTAAAATCTTGAGTTGTGACTTATATGGATGTTCTCCATGATATTTTGGTGTATTTATAAGAGTTTATATAACTCTATATTTGATTATTGTTTGATTAAAGACATTTTATTAATTCTATGTTTTGTACTTCAAGACTATCAAGTAACGATTGGCCAGGTGAGAAGTGTCAGAGGGTAGGATCATTTTAGCATATTGTCGTTCTAAAATCTAGCAACCCTAGCGACAATTCAAACTAGACACATCTCCAGAAAGTAGTCTATCGGTAGTGTAATTAATAATAATATTTTTATTTAGCAGGCTTAAGGGTTAAACCTAATTAGAGTATTTGCCCTAAGTTATAGTCATAGTTTGTCACACCCCCAAACCTGAACGACGGAAACGTTCGGGGGCGGATGACTTCATGTGGTAGCGTAACAAGTGAATACATAGTAAAGAAAGCAATACAACCATCATATATGTAACATCCGGATTTTACCAGGTATCTTGTAAATTTAATTTTGTTGAATTGTGAGGGGGACTCGGCGAGTTGGAGCTCAGACTCGCCGAGTAGGGACGCGGATTTGGGCAATGGAGCGCGCCTGGACTCGGCGAATCCAGGATATGGACTCGGCGAGTCTGCGCTGTGTAATGAAACCCTAAATTTCCGGGTTTGAGGCCTATTTAAGGGGCCTTATGGCCGTCATTTGTGCTCACCCAACCCTCAGTGAGAGACCCTTGTGTTCTTGAGCGATTTGTGAAGAGAAAGGAGCATTTCTTGACCTTGTGTGTGTTATTTAGCAAAAGAGGGAGACTCTAGGCAAGAGGAAGCAAAGGAGGTTGCTATTTCGTGGATTTAGAGCTTAGATCATCACTCTAGAGGTATGATCTCGGACTATTTTCTGTTTGGTGAAGCATTATGCAATTTAGGGCTTATGATGGTCATTTATGAGATGATTTGGTGCCCATTGGTTCCCTCCTTGAGTTGAGGTTATGGATCTGGACCCATAGAGGTCCAAAGAGCCTCACTCATCAAGCTTTATGTATGACAATGGAGTCCATGACCTTGTGTTGTAGTAAATGAGTCAAAAACATCATATATGGTCATATAGAGGTTGTATGTGCATCAAGATTGTAACTTTACGTGCTAAATGAGCTTGGAGGGACTGGATCTATGGATTAATGGACTGGATCTGACCTTTAGAGCAAGATTGAGTCAGTGCATGGCACGGACTCGCCGAGTCCGAAGAACAGACTCGGCGAGTAGCATGAATGTTGCCCGACCACACAGTGAGTGGCCTCGCCGAGTTGGGGAGGGTGGACTCAGTGAGTCAAGGGGGAGTCAGAATGGACCGGTGGATTGAGTCAAACTGGACTCGCCGAGTTGTTTTGAGACTCGGCGAGTTGAGTCGTGGTGGCCCCACAACTCATGCCAGGTGGAACTCGTCGAGTTGAGTGAATGCTCGACGTGTCAAGGGAGGATTCCAGGGAAATTGGTGTACACGCCAGACTCGCCGAGTCGCCTTGGTACTCGCCGAGTCGGTCAGAGTTGACCGTTGACCGTTGACCAGAGTTGACCAGTGTTGACTCTTATTGATAGTCAACCTTAGAGATATAAAGTGTTAATTAGAAGCATATAATGTTATAGGAGGATTAGAGCTCGGAGGATCGAGCACGGAGGGATTTATTTCGTGAGATACCGAGATACGCGAGGTGAGTCTTCTCACTATACTTTACCTTGAGTAGGTAACCAGAGTTATGTGATAGAGTATTTGTATGCTATGTATGTTGTGTGTTGTACTGCATGATTTCTATGTGATTTATGTGGTGCATGTTTATCAGAGCTAGAACCTGAGGGTTCACAGAGTTTGGGTGCACGGACCCACAGAGTTATGGCCTAGAGTGGCTAATATATGTTATATGTGGTATTTTGGGGAACTCACTAAGCCTTGTGCTTACAGTGTTGATGTTATTTGTTTCAGGTACTAGTGACGACCACGGGAAGGTGCCGGCTTGATCCGTATACACACACGTTCGGAGCTTGATATTATGATCTTGGGATTTTGTACTGTTTTGTTGGATAATTAAAATGGTTGTTTTTATGAATATCGATGGAATTATGTTTTATAAAAATTGAAAATTTTGTTTGAAATTTCGGTGTTACAAATTGGTATCAGAGCCTTGTTTGAGGATTCGGGTACACCTTCGGGGGTATTTGAACTCAAACTGAGGAATTGAAGAGATATTTCAAAATAAAACCAAAATTTTCTAAGAGTAAAAGAATTTCCAGGAAGAAAAGTGTGTACGATCAGCCAGCGCCCGAACGGTGAATTCCCAAAATACCTTTATATTATGTAATAATTATTATTAATGTGATGTGTTTGCATGCTAGATTAGGCTAGGTATTGCTAATAGGACTAGAGTGGCCTGTTTTGTGATGCCTTAGCCTAGGGAGGGGTGAGCTGCTATGAGATGCTGAGAGTAATTAGGTAGCAGCTAGGGCTTTGTGTGAGATCTATTTCAAAGTGATTTAAGTATAATAGAGTACTTGGGGATTGGGATCCGAAAGAGGAAGATTTGGGGTGTTGTACTGAGACGGTGCGGACAGTAGTATTGGGCCCGTACTACTGAAAGCACCGGTGCGGTACACAGTCCAAATAAGAATCTTGGGATGCCAAGAATCAAGGAGGGGTGGATTGTAGAATGTAAGAGTGTTCGAGTGAATTCTAATTATCGCATGTTGTATTTCAGAGGTTGATCATGGTAAGGACACGTCACATGCCGGAGAATGCCGGAGCTAGTGATGAGGAGATTCGACAGATCATTCATGAGGAGGTGGCTGCGGTCATCAGAGCTGAGATACCAGAGGTGTTCGGGTCTATTAAGACCGCGTTGATTGAGACATTTGACGAGCGCTATGCTGCTCTTTCTGAGGCTGCTGTTGCAGCGGCTACCGCAGCGATCGCTGCGGCAAGACCCCAGGGAGGTGATGCGTTTGTTTAGGGAGTTCAGCAACACCAAACACACCAGAGTTTGATGGTACGCAGGATCCGGTGGCAGCTATGAGGTGGATATCTGATATGGAGGGATGCTTCTTCACTTGCTCGTCCCCTGAGCATTTGAAGGTTCGGTTCGCGCTGAACCAGCTTCGCTTGGGAGCGAAGACTGGTGGAAGTTTGTGACGGCGCACTTCACACCGACTGAGCTTTCGGCAGTGACCTGGGAGAGGTTCACTACCATGTTCGAGATGAGTACGTTCCTCAGGTGGAGAGGGAGCGTCTGCACACAGGAGTTTCTGACCCTCAAGCAGGGTACCGAGTCAGTCATAGCTATTACAAGGATGTTTCATAAGAGGGCGATGTTCTGCCCTGAGCAAGTGTCCACCGAGCAGGCACGTATGAGCCGTTACCTGAGCATTCTGAGACGGGATATTCGGGATTCGCTGCGAACTCCTCGTATCGGACATTTGCCGAGCTTCAGGCAAATGCTCGGAAGAGGGAGATTGAGCTTGAGACTCAGGCCAGGGAGGAGGCGGAGTCTCTAGGGAGGGATCGGCCCGGCACAGTCCCAGCCGGCAGCCAAGCGGGCCAAGCCCGCTGATCCCAGACCCGGGAGCCAGAAGGGCCGCACTTGTGGAAAGTGCGGCAAGGGTCACGATGGAGTCTGTCGAGCAGGGTCTTGCTACAAATGTGGCAAGGAGGGGCATATGGCCAAGGACTGCCCCAAGGGATTTGCAGTGTGCTTCCACTGCAACCAGACCGGACACCGGAAGGCAGAGTGTCCGCTGCTGCGCGGAGCATCTCAGGGGTCTGCTCCCGCCGCCATCAGAGCTACTGCTACAGAGAGTCGGCCCGTGAAGGCCGAGGCACCGAGGGCTCGGGAGAGCCTTTCAGCTGACTGCGGAAGAGGTCCGCGCTGCACCCGACGTTGTGGCTGGTACGTTTCCTTTTTATATTTATTATGGTGTTGAGATATTATGCTTATATTATGCTATGCATAGGTACCTTCCTTGTGAATTCTGTACCTGCTTTAGTGTTATTTGACTCGGGTGCGAGTCGATCTTTTGTATCTTTGACATTTAGTCAGCATATCAGTGTTAGTCGTGGGGCACTGAGTCGGCCCCTGCGGGTTTCCATAGCCGCCGACAGAGTGATTTGTGCCACGGAGGTCCTCCGGGGATGTGTATTGGAGATTTTTGGGGTTGAGTTCCGATCGACCTGATTCCTATTGCGATGGGTGATGTCTGTGTTATAGTGGGCATGGACTGGTTGAGCCGATTCGGCGCGGTTATCGATTGCGAGCGTCAGCTGGTGACTATACGAGATCCTAGTGGGGGAGTTCTTTCGGTTTACGGCGAGGGTACACGTTCTGGATCAGCCTTTTGTTCGGCTGCTAGGGCGAGGCAGTGTTTACAGCAGGGCTGTAAGGGTTTTGTGGCGTATGTGATGGATACGCGAGTGATCTCCGAGAGACCGAGTTCGGTGGATGAAGTTCCGGTGGTGCGT